TGAACAAGCCCGATCCCATCTGATCTCGGAAGCTAAGCAGGATCGTGCCTGGTCAGTACTTGGATGGGAGACCACCGAGGAAGACCAGGGGCTGTAGGTATAATAAATAAAAAAAATAAGGGATCGTAAGCTGACAGGGTCCTTGCAATCTGTGAGGTCAACCAAGGATTGCCTCACCTTAAAAACAAAAACAAAAACATGAAATAGCCCTTTTACTCATAACACGGGCTGTAAATGAGAAGTTTGTAAAGGCTAAGTGTTGGCAAGCAAAGTCTGTAAATGCAAACCCTTGCGCACAGCACGGGGAAGCAAAGACTGTGAAGCTCACCTGAAGAGCAATGTAGTTTTCAGTCTGACTGAGTATACTGCTATCCAATGATCAGGCAATCCCACTCCAGAGCACTCACCTCTGAGAAATGTCCCGACCCCTGAGGGACATTTACAAGATACTGTATAATGGCATCGGTTGTGGACACTGGGAGCAGGAAGTAACCTAAGCGTCCATCACTGTGGGAATGGATCAGGGTGGAAGGTTGAATGATGGTCCCTAATGATATGCACGTCTGCCATGGTAACAGGCTCTCACCTTGACACCTCCGATGTGGGAGTCTGGCCTCCTTTTCCATCCTGAAAATGACCTCTGGGTTGGGAACGTGATACCCTGTTAATGAGAAAGGACATCGGATTTGGACGTGGTCTTGAGCTTCAGAGGCCATTCAACGAAGCTTTGCTTCTTTCACTTAGAACGAAATAATACTCAGAGATGCTCAAAAAGAATCAACGATTTAGGACAAACCGAAGACAAACCCATTACAAACTAGAGATGGCCCACTGCGTTCCACAAGGCAGGACAGGGCCTTGTGGGGCCCGTCCAGATTCCCAGGGCCCGTCCAGATTCCCAGGGCAGGTGTGCTCACCCACGGAGAACAGGTGGCTACAAATCTCCAGCATCACGTCCTGGTACAGGTGTCTTTGGGCAGGGTCCAGCTGCTGCCACTCCTCCCTGCTGAAGTCTATGGTCACATCCTCAAATGACACTGGTCCCTGTAACGACATACTCAGCTCAGTGTGAATTAGTCATCACTGTGAGTGGGAAAGTTACACGGAGAGACCCGTTTTTAATATATATATATATTTTAATAGTGTTGATGTTTCGTTTGAATGTTTTCTATTAAAAAAATGTTTCTGTCAGGTTGAGATGATTTTTAAACACTACTGAAGTATGTAACCTCACAATATATTGGTTCGCCATGGTAAAAAGCCGTGCATTTATTATACCGTTTTTAAAAAACAGAACATCTCTGTAATTTGAATGCAAACCTATCACAGGTCAATGATGCGCTGTTTATTACTATGGCCACTCACTATTACTTTAAAACACACCGAGTGTTACGAAATACACAGAATAACTTAGACTTTCTGGACATCTTGAGTGTCCCCAAGAATCCTGCTTTCTTGTTCCCAAATATCAAATATTAATACCTGCGGGCAATTTGGAAACACTGTTGTCTGGCATTTCGATTTGTCTTTTAAAACAGGAAATAATACGTGGTCTTTAAGCATGCACCATCATCCTCTCGCTCAATAAACTACGAGGACGGGGTAGAACCGAGCTAACCCCGCAGAGCAGGGAAGCAGGAGAAGGGTGGGAAGCAGCTGAGAACATGCAAAGGCCCAGTGGTGGATGGCGGATCTTGGCCTGCACTGAGCAAGAGGCAGCTGTCACCTTCCTGTCTGTGGCTAGGGTTCCCACCCGGACCAGGGGCCACCTTTCCTTCTCCTTTGTCCCAGGGTTGACTCTCTTCTCCAACAGTCTTCATCGACCAGTCTGTTCTCTCTATCACACAGAAGGCCAGTGAGTGCGAGGTGACATCAGCCTCCTGTGGTCCGCTCTCAGCGGGAGGAGCCAGACTGTCTGGGGCACAGAGAGCGTGGAACCTGCTGCTTCCTGGGTCCGCCCAGAAGTTCAACGACTCTCTCTGGGGCCGCTCTGCGTACCTCACACGATCCAGCCTGTTCCTCTGGACCCGGGACCCGGAGTCTGTGGGGCAAGTTCACATCTGCAGGCATGTCCCCTCCAGGCTTCAACTCGGTCTCTTGCAGACAACTCTGCTTTTCCCAGGAGCCCAAAGCTGCGCGGGCATGTGGAGGCTCGGATCAGGGCCGATCGGGGCCTCGAAGGCACGGCTGACGCGGGGGCTCTGCGGAGACACCAAGAAGCCCTGGAAGGACAACGACCACGTGGTCACTTATCCGACATTTGCTCCACACAAATATTTCTGAGGGCCCTTAGGTGAAGGTCACTGGGCTAGATACTATGAAATAAGCAAAGTTCAAAAAAGCCCAACTCTAGTTATTAATCGGTGAAAAAGAAAAGACCGTGAGTTTGGACTAAACTTAACGAAGGCTTAATGGCATCTCTGCCACCTTAACCAGGGAAATATGAAGCTACTACCTTTAGCTGTAGCTTCCAGCACCGGGAAGAAGCCACTGACCACAGGCACTGGGAAACTTACATGACACGAGGCTTATTAGCCTCCGGCACCTGCCTGGCACGTGGTAAACGCGGATAAAAACCAGCAAGCCGCAAGTCAGGTATCGGCTGTCCTGTTTAATGTTCACAAACACTATCAGCTAAAGGGTACAACCATTATTAAACCCATTTTGTGGATGAGGAAACCGAGGCTGAGCGCTGTTACATCATTTGCCTTAAGGTCGATCTGCCCGCAAAGGAAATCGGCCCCAAGTCTGCCTCATTCTAAACTGCACACACTATCCCGTCAGCTTCCAGAAACACCACTTCCATGTCCTGCGGCCCCAGGGGAGCCGAGGCTCTGAATCTGGCCATGTCTGGCAGGTCTGATTCAAGCTGCTGGACATTTCCGTGGCCATGCATAACGCCCGAGGCATCCCAGCCTTTTCTGACAAAGATAAAAATTTCAACTCACTGTACACGACCTCACCTTGGCCTGAAAAATCTGCAGACGGTACCGGGGCCACAGTCACTCATCATGTCTGGCCCTGTCCACAACGAGTTATCCCCACCCCCGCCCATCCAGCTTATCTCCAGAAATCCCCAGTGAGTGACCCAGGCGACTGTCAGAAGGCCATGCAATGCCTCCCACACATGCACACGGCCAGGCTCCTGAAACCATTACTAACTACCCTGACTGCCAATAAATGTCCCAGGAAGTGATTTCCACGGGACCCAAAAGAGTCCCCAGCAACCGGGGTTCAACATAACACACCCCGATAGGAAACCATCACCGATCCGCTCCACTGCCAACCACCGACCCTTCCCACGTCCGCAGGCCCCCAAGTTGCGGCCAGCACTGACCCGACCATCCACCTCTGAGGGACCCCAACCCTTGCTACCCAGGAAGCGACGCGGGCACCCTCAGCAGCCCCCATCACTGATCCCCCGGCTTCTAGCCGACGGGTTTCCAGGCATTGCCCTGAGCTCCCCACTCTACCCATTCCCTAGGTCCCCAGTCACTGCCCCCGGCCGGAGCGCGTCACAGTGACCCTCGAGGTCCTCCGATCCCCGAAGTCCCTGCTCCCCATCGATCGCCGCCTCCCACAGCCCCCTCCCCCAAGCAGCGGATCACGTCCCCCAAATGTCCCCCAGGAGCACGCACCTCAGGACGCCCTTTCACTGTCTCCAAAGAGGCGAGTTTCACGCGCCGACGACATGAAACCCGATCTTAAAGTACACTCGGAATGTAAGTGACAAAAGCACCGACACGCACCCAGAAACCACAGAACGACTGGAAACTAACGAGCCCATCTTCCAGCTTCCAGGAGAAAACCCCCCTTGGCCCACAGCCCCCCGTCACTACGACCACCCCGCAGACCGCGCCCCCATCGCCGCCCCCATCGCTGCCCCCCGCGGAAGCCCCGCCGCTCACACTGCAAACCACCTGGACGTCCCGCGTGCGACAGGCGTGCAGCGACCGGCTGACAACGTAGGCGGAACGGTCGCTCCCGGGTTGGGCGGCGGCGTGCGCATGCTTACGAGAACCTTCGAAGCCGCAGCGTGCCAGTAGTTATCATGGCGTAGTACAGGGACGCTCCTCCGCGGTTCGCTCTTTCAGGAACCGTCAGGCGAACAACATGGCCGCCCCCATAAGCCTTATGTCACTGGAGGCGGCCATGTTGGACGCACTTCCATTCCGTACAGCCGGGATCGCGTTTGCGATCTCACGGAGTAAGGTCTTGGGGTTGTGCCACGTTGGCAGGCGACCTAATAAATGCCTGCGTATGTACAGCTGTAGGAGAAACTGGCATTGCGTATTTCTAAAAAAAATACATTTCCCTGTATATTCACCCTGATTTAAGCCTCACCCTCAGAATCCAGGTCTCCTGCCCCCTCTTCCTTTCAATGACTCACACTCCAATGAATGAGACGTGTGGGGAACCCGAAGGGTGTTGAGCTCCGCAGACGAACTAGACAGTACTGGGGGCGGCTCCAGGACGCCAGGCTCTGAAGACTGGGAGAGGCTCGGGGGTTGTTGGCCCTCCAGGCTCCAGCTCAGCCTGGCAGGGGGGGTCACTGTCAACCGCAAGGAGCAGACACAGGCGTTGGCCCTTCGGGTTTGATAGTGTGGAGCTATTATCCTCCAGATGAGAGAAGAATAAGGGAGAGAAAGCCGCGGAAAGATTCTGGAGCCGACTGCCTGGATTTGAAGCCAGATGTTCAAGTTTGAACAAGTTAGTTAAACTCTCTCTACTTCAATTTCCCGTTTCATAAGGCTGGGAGGGTTAAATAATTAAATTATCACGTGCAAAAGGTTTAAAAGAGTGCCATTACATAATAACAAGCTTTTACATGAGGAATTTAATATATATGGCTATATTTTTGTCCATTCGACACATATTTATTGGGTTTCTGCGATGTGCTCAAGAAAACATTGCTTAAGATCATTGTTTGCGAAAGTGTTTGAGGATTTCAACATTTTCCCCAAGGACCTTTGGTAATCCTTTGATGTTCCAATTGTTCCGTTTCGAATCATCACGCCATTATTCCTGTTGATGTACTTAGAGTAGAAACGGGTTTAAGTCTTCTGGACCCTCCCAGATCCACGGTTTGGGCACATTTGGCAAACATCCCTTTCATCGTTGATCTCATGAAATCTCGCATCTCTTGAGAGTTTTTTCAGTTTTGCCTGTTATTTCTTTGCATAGTATGCACATCGTGTTGTAGGAGATCTTCATCATCCCGCAGAGAGACCGAGTGCGGTAGGTATTTGTGATATTGTGATTTAAAATAAGAAATACAGTGTGACACATTTGTTCTTTATTCCCGTTTCCCCCGCACGGAGCTCCCTAAACCTTTGGAATTTCCTAAGTGCTAAGGACTGTAAAGTGTCTTTTGTTATGTTAATGAGCAACTTTGGGCTAGAGGGTGAGGGTGGAGGCTGGTTGCCGGGAGAACCATCTCTGTGATTAGAGGGTTGGAACTTTCAGTCCCGCAGCGCCCCTCCCCCACCTCTGGGGAGGAGAGGAGCCGGTGGAATCAGTTGCCCCGGGCCGATGATATAATGAATCACTCCTATGTAGTAATGAAGGTTCCATAAAAATCCAAAAGGACGGGCTTCGGGCATCGCCCGGGTTGGTGAACATGTAGAGACCTGGGGAGATGGCGAGCTCGATGGGGAAGAGCTGGGAAGCCCTGCCCCCTTTTCCCATACCTTGCCCCATGCATCTCTTCCACCTGGCTGTTTGAGTCTTAGCACATTCTCCGGCCCCGGAAACTCAAATAATCGGAAGGGAACTTGTGACTTCGTGTAACCACAAGTCAGACGGTTTTCGGGGGGGCAGCTCAGCAGGCCAGGCACTGTGTCTGGGGGTGGGGGAGATGAAGAAGGGAGTGGTCGCGGTCTGAGGAGATGGGGTCTCGGGAGGTGAGGGGCTGGATGAAATGGGAAAGGTCCTGAATCTTCAGGACCTGCTGCGAGAGCCTCCACGGCTCCAAAACCTGAGAAAGGAGAGATCTGAGGGGGAGGCAGAGGATTGATTCAGGGTAATGAGAGTAGCAGATAACACAGCTGTCTAGGGCCCATCTGGGAGAGGAAAACCACAGTACAAAGATAGAGCTTAGGGGGGAACCCGAGGAAGCTCTGCAGAGTCGAGCTCCTCCTTGCGTCCAAATAGACACCAGGACATCAACAAATGTCCCGCCCAAGCCAGGAGCTGCATCCACAGCGCCCAGGCTCAGTCCCAGCCTCTGACCTTGGCCCTCCCCTCTCAAAGGAGTTTAGGAGCTTGGCCAGTGCTTTACAAGTCTCCTGTGTGCCCAGACCTGGACTGAAGATGAGCACGAGATGGGAGGATTGGTCCTGCATGGTGGGAGAAGCACCTGAATTCCTGGCTCTCCTGGCGGAAAGAAGGAGAAAGGTCTTGTTGTGACCGAAATAACCAGGCCCAACTCGAGTGCTCTAATCCAAGAGACAGTTTATTAGCCGGCGGCTGTCCTTGCCAAAGAGCAGCCCCGAGACGCAGGGGCACAAAGGTTTTAAGCCCTCGATTCCATCCCCCACATCCTTAATTTTTACACAAAAGACTATATCTCCTCCATTCATTAACTGATAACTAAGAGGTGGGTAAGCAAGCAGGGGTACAGAAGCAGAATGCGTCATTGTTAAAATATTTTGTACCTATAGGCAGTGATCCGGCCAGTAAATCCCTCTAGTTAATAAATTTTTAGCAGATAACTAACTAGAAGTGAGACATGGCGGTTAGTACATACCATGTCTTATCCTTAACCTATTGTTTCTAAAGGTGAGGTCACTACAGTCTCTAGGGGCAAGGAGGTGTGGTCTGCGTAGGGAAGTGAAAAGAACAGCTCCCTTCTGAAGTGTCCCTGTGGTGAACTGGGCTTAATTTGTTCTGACCTTTTAGTGGTTTGAATGTTCCTTTCGAAGAGAAAGGTCTGAGGCAAAGCACAGAAATAGATGCCAGATGTCTGCCGAGGAGGACTAGTCGGATGGTATTAGGGGTTCCGAATAGGCTTTCCAGTGTCAGGGATGTGACCCGCTATGACTGCTGTTCTTCCAGTGGGGATGTGAGTGGGCTGCGGCAGAGGAGGGTGGCAGGCAGCTGGAGCTAAATGTCACAGAGCTACATGTTGGTCTCTCCATAGTGTCCCTGGAGGAGCGTACGGGATGTGAGCTGCAAATACCAGGGTCTGTCATGTGCAGGAGGGCTTGTGTGTCCCGGTGCCCTGTGCTTGCTCCTACCCGCTGGATGGATGGAATCACTCAGGCCCACTCTACATCTTCTGGTTCCTGGAAGGGGCCAACCTACAACAGGATCTTCCGGTAGATACGAACAAACCAGGTCAAAAGCTACAAAAGAGGACCTGGGGTCACTTCCTTATTGTCGGGGATCCCCAGACCAGCAAGTCTTCCCTGAACCTCAGACACGCCAGGAAGAAAGGTGGCAGGGTATACTTACCCTGTAATTGGAGAGAGACTCTTAAGTTCTCCTGGATATGGGACACCCTTATCTCCTTGAGCCCTGAAACAGGTCCCTTGTCAGAGGTCACCATCATTTTACAGCCCTGGTACCACGCCACCACTGTCACCTGCCAGGTAACCTTACTGGGGTTCCTTGTGACCACAGAAATAACCATCCAGCTCAATGTCTCACGTGAGTGCTGGGCCAGGACTCCTGGGTTGTTGCGGGCAGTGGCTGTGTTGTGACCGGAATAACCAGACTCAACCTGAGTGCTTTGATTATAGAGGCAGTTTATTAGCTCCTTCCAAAAGGAGCAGCCCCGAAATGCCAAGATACAAGGTTTTGAAGCCCTAAATCCCATCCCTCATTCTGTCTTAAACACAAAGGTCCATCTTTCTCCTAAGTGTCGTATATATGCTGTCCTGAATCTTTTTCAAATTAACAATAATTCTTGGGAATCTTGCTGTGTTAATAAAGAACTTCATCCTTTGTTTTTTACAACTGCAAAGCAGTCCACTGTGTCGTAATGTCTTTAAATAATCATGTGCCCATGGAAAAAATATCTTCTACTTATAAACACCAGTGCGATGAATAACGTTCACCTATTTTGTAAGGATGCCAAAATATCTATGATTTTGAATTCCTCAGTCAGAGGGCACATGCATGACCAATTGTGATAGATAGGGCCAAATGGCTTTCCAAGAGGTCGTATAAGCACAAAACAGATAAAATAATAAAACGCTAATGACCGCCCTCCAAATGTCTCTCTGATCACAACACTGTGTCTCTCTGATCACAACACTGTGTGTCCCCCTCAAAATGACAGCCTTCACCTGGTGGAAAGAGGGCAGTTTGGGGAGACTTCAGACAGCTGTGGGTCTGAATTCTGACTCTGTCACTTATCAGCTGTGTGATCACCTCTCTGAGACTTAGTTTTCTTAATTTGAATGAGTATCAAGGGACCACCAGGACCAGCCCAGGCAGAAAGGTGAGGGAGGGGGAGGTGTCTGCTCCAGTCCCGAAGTCTGATTTCAAATTGAGAAAGCAGGAAGGAACTGAGGCCTCAGGAAGGACCCCCTGGGCCTCTGGGATGAGAAGGGACCATGTTGAATTGCGGCTCTGGAACCCCCTCTGTCCAACTCCAGGGAGGCAGTGTGCAGTCCAGAGAATGACTTGGGTGGAGCGATGGAAGAATCAGATGTGTCTCATACACCTCGTGTCCCCGACGAGATGTGCCGGCCTTCCCGTGTCTGCCAGTGAGCCCCTTGGAGGCCCAGCTCGCTGCAAGGGTCATTTGGCAGCGGGGGCTCAAGTACACGCAGGCTGCTAACAAACTCTGTGACCCTGGGCAAGTGCCTTCTCCACAGCCTCTTTACCGCTGTTAGTTTTGCAGAGTAACAGCACGTTGCTGTGGCGTGATCAATTCTAAGACCCACGGAGCCAATTGAGATGAATTATGAGCCTTTATGAGCCGGCCGGGCAACTGACTCTCTACCACGCAGGGTTCGCAGGGTTCGAGGAGATCAGCCCCGAGCTCTCAAAAGAGGCAGCTCATAAAGCCTAGAACCACACCCTGGTTTAACATCAAACAAGCAAACAGATTAACCACACCCTAGTTAACATCAAACAAGCCAGCAGATTACAGAAGCAGAAGTTGGCTGTTAGCATATCTTTGTCCAGAACCACATCCTTAACAATGTTCGCTGCCTCTTGCTTCCCAATAGGGGCTATGTGTCCCCCCCCTCCCCCCGGACCAGAGCTAAGCAGAATTTCTTGGAAGATGCTTTCAAAAGCATCTGGGAATGGCCTGTCTTCCCTAAAAGATCTGGGGGCTTGAATTCATTGGCAGTTGAAAAAACATCAGATTAAACAGAAACGAGATACCACTTTGCACTCAACAGATCAGGAAATGAAGAAGGACAGCAACTGTGGGGATTTTGTGAAGAGACAGGAGCCTCTGCCATGGTGGTGGTGAGGCCGTAGACTGTCGAGGCATTTTGGGAGCTGGCAACACTCTCATGAACTGACTGTATTTGCTTTGTGACAAATCACTGATCTGCACACTTAGCCATTTGTATCTTTTGCACGTTACACACATTGCAATATAAAAAATTTTTTAGTTCATAAAGAAAGTAGCCAGCAAAAAAAAAAAAAAAAAAAATGCAGACTGTATGATGCCATTTACATAAAGGTCAAAAATAGTAAAACCTAAACTTTGACATTTAGGGATGCGAGTTTCATTGGTAAAAATATATTATTCTCTAAGGTGCGTAATAGGAATGCGATGAACATCCTTGGAGAAGGTGATGGGGAAAATTCCGACGTCCCTCTGTGTAAATGCTTTGAATAGATAACTCACAATGAAGGATCACGGTTAATGGAAAAAAAAGAAAAAAAAGAAAAAGAAATGTCGTTTACAATCACATCGATGTATGGAACAGATGTATTATCATTTCCCTCACTTCGAGTTAGCAAAAGTGAAAAAAGCCCACCCCACAGGCACCCTCACGTGCTGTTGGGACGGTCAGAGAACAGGGACATTTGGAAAACGTCGGGTTGGCCTGGGGTGGAGCTGGAGATCTTCACTGCTCGCATGTTCTATTAAGTCCAAACGCGTTTGGCTCTACGTTCCAAAAAGCCTGGCTTTCGGAAATTCTAGCAAACAGGGCTTTATTTTGGTCACATAACGAGAAGTCTAGATATGGGCCGCGCTGGCTTTGCTTCGCGCAGGGCGCGGGGGAGGCGCCGGGGATGCCCGGGCCCCAGACCAGGGCGGCGGCGCCAAGCTGACCTTTCTGCCCCCGGGGCCGGCCGCCACCTCGGACACAGCTGCTCCCCTGGCTGGAGGCCCAGACCCGGTTCCGGTGGCGCCAGGCCCTC